CTAAAGCCCTAAACCCCAAAACTCTAAAGCCCTAAACCCTGAACCTTGAAACCCTGCAAAAGAGTATATAAGAGTTTGGGTTTTCTACAAGGCCTTATGCACACACACACACACACACACCCTTGGCATTTTTTGACAACACCTTCATTACACAATCCTGGATTGAACTCTAAGCCCTAAAGCCCTAAACCCTTGGCTGGCCAAGGTCTCTCTCAGCCCTTGCCTCCAACCAGAAGGGGCATCTGGTCTCGGATCTTGAGAAGGACTCAGAACTTTAAAGATATGTCAGGGATTTGTTTAGGGTTTAGGGCTCGCAGGGTTTAGCGTTGTTTACATGGGGTTTCCTTTTTTCGTTACGCACCTTCATTGCATCGTGTCGGTATTTGTAGGCTGGGGAGCCTGATTCAGGGTTTGGGCTCTTTGGCGTTTCGTGCTTGAGTTAGCGGGTCCAGGACTTCTGGTTTGGGCATCCAACTCTGAGTTCTGAGCTCTAAGCCGTTAAGGGCTATGACTTGAGAGTTCTTGCTGGGCCTGGATGTTGCCTTTCACATCCCTAAACCATCATCCTACATGGGGGTTTCCCAAAATAGGGGGCCCTAATATAGTACCCTAAATAATAGGATCCTTATTATAAGGACCCCAAAATAAGGTACCCCAATTTTCGGAAAGTCCCAAATGGACTCTAAATGCTTCCGGGCTCAAATCCTTTCTACTGTTAAAGTCTACTCCCGCCCCTAAACCCTCAACCCCCAAGCGTTTGAAGATCTCCTGCCTCCCTCCAACCCTAAACCCCCAACTCCTGAAGTTAGACAGAAACCCGAAACCCCCAACTTCTGAAGCTTGAAAGAAGCCCTAATTAAGCCCCAAACCCTATAAACCCTGTAAACCCTAAACCCTATAAACGCTATAAGGCCTATAAGCCCTACACCCTATAAGCCCTATGAGCCCTATAAAGCCTAAAGCCTACTAAACCCCAGGTAAGAAGCGCCGCCCCCGCCCAACCAACCTGCCGGGCGCCAACCTCAAGCTGCTGTCCAAGTACGGCGATGCCGCTGGGTCTGAGCGTTCGGGCTACAGGCTTTAGGGTTTAGGGCTTGAGGACTGTAGGGGACTGTAGGGCTTAAGGGCTTTGGGGCTTTACGGTTTTAGGGCTTTGGGGCTTTAGGGGGTTAGGGCTTTCGGTTTTTTGGGCTCTAGGGGTTTAGGGCTTTAGGGTTTTAGGGCTTTGGGGCTTTAGGGGTTTAGGGCTTTCGGTTTTTTGGGCTTTAGGACTTTAGGGTTTAGGGCTTTAGGGCTTTAGGATTTTAGGGTTTAGGGCCTTGGGTTTTAGGGTTTGGGGCTTTAGGGCTTTAGGGCTTTAGGGCTTTAGGGTTTGGTATGTTGAGTCTCCTCAGGGTTTAGGGGTTATTTTGGTTCAGAAAGGTTTTAGGGTTTAGGGCTTGGAGTTGTAGGGTCAGCAGCGTGCATGAAGTGCGTCTTTTCTCCAAACGCTTACACCAAGTTCCTTAACAATGTCTCTACCAAGTTTCTGAAACTTCTAAGTGGGGAGCTGTGCGTAAAGGATTGAGGATGGCCTTTGCACAGGGGGCAGGCTTCTCTTGTCGCGGTACCTCGGCCAGTCCTAACGACCCAGGAAGGATCCGGACAAACCCCCAAACTCTTCAGGGTTTAGGGTTTAGGGTTTAGGGTTTAGGGTTTAGGGTGTAAAGAAACAATTCAAGAGGCTGGGTTTTGAACAGTTGGATGGGTTGGAATTACAGGGTTCCTTTCAGCGGATCTATGAGGGGTCTATGATATAGGGGCGTTCAAACGTTGCAACAGGGTTTCTGGGATCCGTTGTATTGAAGTGTAACAACTGGGAAGGGGTTACAAAGAAAAATCTCTACTTTTTCAGATCTCTAGACTACACCAAGAACAGGCCCCTCAAAAAACTTCTCAGCGCCTGTAGCCTATAGACTTAAAATTTCAACCCTAAACCTAGCACTCGCTAAGGACCTAGACCCTAAACGCCTGAACTCTAAGAACCCTAAACCCTGAACCCCTAGACCCTAAACCCTAAACCCCTAAGCTCTAAACCCTAAACCCTAAACCCTAAACCCCTAAACCCTAAACCCTTTATAAACCCCTAAACCCCTAAGCGCTAGAACCCCAGAGACCCTCTAAGCTCGATGCTGCGGCCATCGCGGGCGACGTGGAGACTGCAGCGGCCATCTTTGAGGAGATCCGGCCACAAGCCACCCGACTCCTGGGTTATAGGATTTTAGGGGTTAAGGGCTTCAGGGCTTTAGGATTTTAGGGGCTTGGGGTTTAGGGCTGTAGGGGTTTAGGGTTTAGGGGTTTTAGGGCTTTAGGGTTTTAGGGGTTTTAGGGCTTTAGGGTTTTAGGGTTTAGGGGTTCAGAGTTTTAGGGTTTAGGGGTTCAGAGTTTTAG